ARWKGGGAGAAATTAGCAAATAAGTTAGGGTTACCWGACATATGATTTGTSGCACCAGAGTCAATGACCCATTTTGATGTGGAGGAAATAAGACATTTACTGGTGTTACCTGAYTCAGCGATRGCGGTAATCRGATTAGAGGACGMTGCCGTCAATGACTCTTSATACTRTTGGAACTTAGCAAATTMTTCCGCAGGAATTGTAACTAACTTGCCAGCATTATCASGAGTAGAYRCAACATGGGCAGACTRTGTTTTYTGACCTTTATTCAWTAGCTTTCTACATTCTCGTTTTRTATGACCARGCTTATGGCAATAATTGCAAAAATAATATCTCCTGAATTTGATTTTGGAGCACTAGAACGTTGAGCGTTCGAAGTCGTGGAATTCCCTTGGTAGGTATTACCTCTGTTTGCATTTGTACTACGTCCAACCAAAGCACTATTARACTGAGATGACAAGACGGGTTGTGACTTCTCAACTCRAAGTACTCGAGTGTATGCCTCCTCTAAAGCTGGAATTTCYGAACCAGAGAGTAATTGGTCTTTGGCCACRTCAAATCTAGGTGGAAGACCAAGAAGAAAACTGATAACTGCTAGTTGTTCGCGTTGGGCAAGCCGAACTTTTGCATCATTACTATCTGGGAGTAATGCATTAAATTCCGCATAAATTCGTTTGTGTTCCATAAAGTAATTTGTAAGAAACTGGTCACCAAACTCAGGTTGGTAGAAGCCCTTGCAGATTTCAAATATTCGACTAACATTTCCTTTTCCAGAATAAAGGAATTCTAAATATTTAAGCAACTCTTTAACATACTCACATTCATTGACCAAGCCAATAATGTCACCATCGATCGAATTCTTGATCTGCAGAACCAATCGAGCATCATCCTGCAACCAAGCTTTCTTGCTCTCATCCTTAGGCGGATCCTCAGTTATGTGATCGTCCATATCAATACTTCGCAAAAAAAAGACGAACATTGATTTTTCGTGAAGAATGGTTTGATCCATTCAACTTGTGTTCTGTGATTTTTGATATCATTGGGATCACCTCAGAAGTTACGATTGATTTCTTCTCAGCCATAACAAACAAGCGAACTTATTTGAACCAAACGACAGAACCAGATCAAACCACCCGAACCAAACAAAACAGATGAATCAAACGGTTGGAACCAAACCGGATTAGGTGTTTTCTGAACCAGAAACCCCAAGTGCTACCCCACGACAACCAGAGGGGCGAAGGCGATTGGGGGTGACGGAAGCGCACGGCGACGAAGGTGCGAAGGACGGCGAGACGAAACCCACAAATAGCAATTGAAAAACAGCTGGCAAATCAGCAAACGGCGACGGCGGCGGTGGTCGGCGGCAGCGGCGGTGGTCGGTGGTCAGCGGCAGTAATTTGTGTTGGATAGCAATGAACATAGCCCTAATGGGCACAAAACCCTAATGGGCATCAAAACCCTAATGGGCACAAAAATTTTAGAAGAAACCTAGGGCTCTGATACCATGTAGAGACTAAGGTTGGAAAGAATCCAATGTTCTTTATTCTCATTATTAAAGTCTATATATATAGACAAATATACAAGGTTGACCTAATCCTATAAGGAGAAGGTAAATGACAAATTAATATTAATACAAGAATATAAAATATACTAATATATACTCTAACAGTTTACATGAAATTATCCCCTATTTATAACGAGGATACTAACAAGAATCTTTGCTGTTATTCAAAAAGGGAGTAAGAATACAAGAGATCATCCCCCATTTTTAAAGATTATGTTAACCTACCAAGGAAACCAACCATTAACAAAATAATCAACTAACAAACAAATTAACAAAACCAATTAGCAACCCAACCCCAGTAGAAACTAACCATAACAAACTCAAACTAACATTACACGATTAACCCTAATCATACTACATCAAACTATGTAACAATTACAAAAATCAAATTACTAAAAGGAAACCACTACAGTTCAACCATAAAAAAAAGGCGCCGCCTTGAATCAGCAAATATCATAAGTAAACTATAAACAGTTCATGACCTTCATTATCAATTTATCAGCAACAACCTGCCTTATAATACTGGTATCGTATTAAACTTCACTGCAAACACTTGCCAGAAAAATGTATACAAATTACCTTCTTCCAGTCTACATAATCAATGAGCTCCTCATCCATGGATTCTTTTGCAGCAATCTGAAGTATCTTCTCTCTTTCTGATTGAGTTGGCCTTTGAAGATGAAAAACTCGATCCATACGGCCAGGCCGCTGTAGAGCCTCGTCAATTTGCTTCAAATTTCGAGTGGTAGCCATCAAAACTACTCCATCTTGTTTCTCAAACCTGCACATAGGTACTCAACACGCTGTGAGAGGAAAAAATGTGGCCTGTACTTTACAACTACTTATCCATGCAGGATTAAATGAAAAATTATAATGACAATAATGCATTTTACAAAAAATAAAATAATAAGAATAATCAATCTTCTTAAAGATACGAAGATAAGCAACAGAAAAAAACCACCCAAACAGGTCATACACATCAATCTAAACATAAAAAAGAACTCCAGTAAGAATATACATCAAAAGGAGAACAATTACTAAAAAATTTAGAAAGAAGACACCAAGTATTAACATGTTACTCAAATAGAGGTAACAAAAACAAGAAGTTTGAAGTTAAAAAGATAAATGTACATATGAAGTGGAGAAATTTGAGCATAAGCAATTGAATATCCGCACCTAATGATTGTCATGCAAATTGACTGATTATTGAAATTAGCAAAATTTTGCTATTCTCAGTTTTTTATGAACAAAAGCTTTCCATATAACTTTGTTAGGGCATTAGAGTTGGCTTCCTATCTAGAAATCGATACATCCAAATCTTAAGTGCTTGGTACTAATCAACTTAGATACAGTAGAGTCCCTCGTATTGCAAACAATTGGGGTTGTAAGAGCTCTCTGCATCTTGAACTTGCTTATATCAATCTCCCTTTAAGGGATATACCAAGATCTGTATCCCCCTTAGGGGCCTTTTTGATTTGANAAAGAAAGAAAGAAAGATCTGTTACTATCTGAAATTCAATATTAGAGAAAATTTAATGAAAGATTCGCAAAAAAAGGCTTCGGCCTATTTCTTTCAGAAATCAAACAGCTCCTCTTTCTTGGACCAGACATGGCCAAACACCTTTTTGCTCCACTGTTGAAGAACGGACTTAAGGCCTTTTAGGTTAGTCATGAAATAAAGACCACGCCTGCCTCTACCTCTGAAATCTTTCCACCCCAATAGTTCAGAAAATTAGGCACATCAAGCCAACAATTCTCAAGTCTGAAGGGAGTTAGGCCCATTTCGTGTTATCATAATAGGTAATGGTGGGGAAGTGATATGAAGTAGTTTTGAGGAGACTATTGGACCTGGGATGGCTAAATTTGTCGAGCCAACCCTTTTCTTTTTCGATTATTACATCGCAACTACAGGAGTGGGTGTTCGAACCTATAATTTGTTAGAGAAAGTAGAGATGTCTTAAACATAGAATTAATCTCAAGTTGGCGAGCCAACCTTTAAAACAAAATTTTTCTTCTCCCCTCTCTAAGATTCGACCAAGTGAAGGTAGCATTCCAATGGAGAATGTCTATAAGATCAAAACTGTTAATGAATTTATTGCAGTGTCTCGTACTAGTAATCTAGCAAGGACTCTCCAACACTAGGGAGAAATTTTGGGAACTAATTGCAGCTAGGATCTTTAGTCTTGCAAGTGAAAGATTTGATTGGACTACTGAGTGTGTTGGTTGAGAAAAAGGATGAAAACCAAGAAAAAGAATATTGGAAATGGAAGAGCTTGTAGTTTGGGGTGAAATGTCATTGGACCATTGAGTGTGTTGGTTGAGAAAAGGATGAAATCCAAGAAAAACAATATTGGAAATGGAGGAACTTGTAGATAGGGTGCTTTAACCAACAGATCCATATTCTAAAACTGGCCGGGCTTTTATTCTGCAAATAAACAAGAGATTTTTCATTAAGATGTTGAAAAATGCAAAATAATAATATAGACTGACCAAGGAGATTACCAAAAAGCACTCCACTTGATCAACTAAACTGAAAGGAGATAATTACAAAAGGATTTGGACTTGAGGGTCCACAAAGCCATGAAATGAGGACAATTCTCCAAAACAAATCTCTAGGCTTCTCTTCCCCAACAAAGATTCTTATGTTAGGTTCCAACCAAATAGCCTGAAGAATGGCCAACCTTTTTTTGAACAGGATACGAGACTTTTAATTTATCAATGAAAAGAAGCAAGATTTCAAGAATACAATCCCCAAAGAGGGGAGAAAAGTGAAAACACGAAACAAGAAAAAGTAGAGATAATAACTCTCAAATTATACAAAGATCTAAAATGACATTTTGACAAAAAGAGGCACGCCAAAATAGTCTTAAACACTTCCTTTAAATTGGGGTAATATCATAAATGACACCAGAGAAAAAGCACCCTTCAATCTGAGAAGGAACCCAAGCCCCAGAAGATGCAACAAAAAGCATTGAAATGGCCAGCCTTTCAATCAAAATATAGAATCTGAGGTTTTCTTATGGGGCGGAGACTTGCTTCCGGCACAATAATTGGTGCACTAGCACCAACCTCGAAAAGAGATTTTCTTACATTTTCTTCACTTTGGCCACCCTGAAAGACATACCAATAAGAGAAAACCCTGGCCACAAAAATTATAGCAGGAACCTTTTTTAACAGTCCGATGGACAGTGAACAAGCCAATTGGATTCAATGCAAGGATTTAACCGAAGGGGTTACTTTATCCCAGGTATTTAGGTAAAGATACCACAGGTGTGGCTTCTTGTTTTAAATTAGATGAGGGTCCCTTTTTTCAATGCTCTAGTTGGTACAAATAACGAAAGATTTTCTTTTTTTATATCTGTGAGTATCTAGACCAACTTGCGTATACCTCGAGTAATCTTATGAATAACTGTATAATACTATAATTGATTGTAAAGGAAACTCGGATATTAAATCCTAGGTAGGAGGTCACCACAAATTTGACTCATTCCCGCCTCAAAACAAACACATGGCGGTTAATACCAAAGGAATTTAAAGAACCATTTTTTTTGTGGGAGAAAGAATTTTAACAATAAAAATCCTTATAAATGGTACACCAACTTGAAGGCAACCTTCTTGCTAGATCTCACACTCCTTCCAACCTCTAGATTTACTATTGGAAGTTCTAAAATTCATATCTGCTCAAATTTCCCTCAGAACACCACCTTGACTACATTAAACCATAAGATTTTTATCTCGTTTTGAGGTTGTGACTGCATAGAATATACATTAAACTTTAAAGTGATCTGTTGTATAAAGGAAAACCCAACAAGCTGCAATGATCCAGTTTCTTTCCTGTTTAAGACAGAATTGTCTAGAACAACTTTGCTTCATTTTATTTCTCCTCTATAATATAATTCCATTCTGTTGTAGCATATATGGTGTACAATACACGGGGTTTTTCTTGAAGAAAGAATAATATCCTCCAAAAGAGAAAGCCAGCAGCTATTTAAAGAGAAAGTTGGCACATTAATAGTACACTAACGGTAACTACATATTAACCACACGGTTAACCAACTTATAACTAAAACAACCTTACGGCCTTACTTAACCCAACTAACCCTTACATAATAACTACATCAATTTCCCTGACCCTTAAAAGTAACTCGTCCTTAAGTTAAAGGTTGATTGTAAAAGAATCTGGTGGATTGTAGTTGTAGATATCTGCTACGTTGAAGACCGGGCTGATATTGTAAGTTGGTGGAAGCTGAAGCTTGTACGCATTAGATCCAAAGCGCTCGATTACTTGAAAGGGTCCTAACTTTCGCTTTTTGAGTTTGGAGTAGGTACCCGATGGAAATCGGCTTTTCCTTAGATGAATCATCACTAGATCTCCCACTTGGAATTCCTTTGCCCGTCTTTTCTTGTCAGCTGCCTCCTTGTATTTTATGTTTGATTGCTCAATGTGTTGGCAGACTTCTTGGTGCAATTCTGTAATCCTGCTGGCCATTTCTTCAGCTTCCAAACTAAGATCAACAGATGAAGGAATGTTAGTCAAGTCGAAAGTTAATCTAGGGAGTTTAGTATAAACCACCTCAAATGGTGACTTCCCTGTAGTTCTGTTCTTCATGTGGTTGTAGGCAAATTCCACTTGCGCCAATGACATGTCCCATTGTTTAGGGTAATCTCCACTAAGACAACGAATGAGGTTTCCCAATGATCTGTTTGTGACTTCTGCTTGGCCATCCGTCTGCGGGTGGCTTGTGGTGCTAAACTTGAGCGAAGTATCGAATTTCTTCCATAATGTTCGCCAGAAGTGGCTTAAAAACTTGACATCACGATCTGAGATGATGGACTTGGGAATCCCATGTAGACGAACGATGTCCCTGAAAAATAAGGTTGCTATAGCAATGGCATCAGAGGTCTTCGAAATGTGCCATTTTGCTAAAGCGGTCCACAACCACCATTTTACCGAGTCAAACCCCCTCTGTTTTCGCAGAAGTCCCAAAATAAAATCCATCGAAAGGTCTTCCCATATACCCTTGGGAGGTAAAGGTGTGTAAAGTCCAGTATTTTGTGGAGTACCTTTGTAAGTTTGACAAGTAAAACACTTAGTGGCATAGTTAGACACATCTCGTCGTATATGTGGCCGATAGAATCGGGAAGATACGATCTCAAAAGTTTTATCACGGCCTAAATGCCCCGCAAGGCCACCCGCATGGGCATCTTGGAAAATAGCCTCCCTGAGAGAGGTATGAGGAATACAGAGAGCATTTCCTTTAAATAGGTATCCTTCCACAATATGGTAGTCTTCGATAGGTATATGGGTTGCACATTTGTGCTAGATGTCTTGGAAGTCTTTGTCAGTTTCATATAAATCAGGAAGATGGTCAAAGGCAATAATCTCGCCTTTAAGAATGGTTAAAAGGCTGTTTTTCCGGCTTAAAGCGTCCGCTGCCTTATTTGTTGTTCCGGCTTTGTGTTTAATTACAAAGTCAAATCGTTGTAAAAAGGACAACCAACGGGCGTGCATATGACTAATTGTCTTTTGAGTGTGTAGAAATTTTAATGAGAAATGATCGGTAAACAAAACAAATTCTTTGCTTAATAGATAATGCTCCCATTGTTTCAAAGCTCGGACAAGGGCATGGAGTTCTTGTTCATAAGTACTCCATTTTTGACGGGATGGACTAAGTTTTTCGCTAAAATACTCTAAAGGATGATTATTTTGAGATAAAACAGCCCCTATACTGATCCCAGATGCATCTACAGCTACTTCGAAAGGGGAGTCAAAGTTTGGAAGAGCTAAAACAGGGCTTTCACATAGTTTGGTCTTGATCATTTGGAAACTGTCTCTTTGTGCTTGTCCCCACGAAAATTGTCCCTTTCTAAGGCAGTTGGTTAAGGGAGCTACTATGGAGCTAAAGTGCTTTATGAATTTTCTATAAAATGAAGCGAGCCCGAGGAAACATTGGACATCTCTTACCGTTTTAGGTTCACTACAATCGGCTATAGCTTGCACTTTATAAGGGTCCATTTTTACTTGATTATGACCAATGATAAAGCCTAAGAAAGAAATTTCGGATGTGACAAAGAGACATTTTTTAAGATTTATCACAAGTTTATTATTAGCTAACGTAGTGAAAAGTAACCAAAGGTGGTGGAGGTGATCATGCATAGTAGTGCTATAAATGAGAATAGCATCAAAATAAACAACAATAAATTTGTTAATGAAAGGAAACAAAACCTGATGCATAAGTCGCATGAAGGTACTTGGAGCATTAGATAATCCGAATGGCATAACAAGCCATTCAAACAGCCCCTCATTAGTCTTGAAGGCTGTTTTCCACTCATCCCCGGGTCTGATTCGTATCCGGTGGTAGCCACTTTTGAGATCTACTTTAGAAAAGATTGAGGCACCTCCTAATTGATCAGAAGGTCGGAAATCCGTGGTATGGGAAACCGGTATTTGACTGTGATTTTATTTATAGCACGGCTATCGACACACATCCTCCAAGTACCGCCCTTTTTTGGAGTCAACAGAGCAGGGACGGCACATGGACTTAGACTAGGCTGTATGTGTCCTTTCTCAAGTAATTCTTGAATTTGGTCATGAAGTATCTTATACTCAGAAGGGCTCATTCGGTAATGTGCTAGATTGGGGATCGATGCCCCCGGAAAGAAGTCAATATTGTGTTGTATGTCTCGAAGAGGGGGTAACCCAGTTGGTGTTTCCATAATAGTGTCAAATTCGGTCAATAATTGTTCTACAGCCGATGGAACAGAAGAACCACCATTCTGGGCATCAAATTCTTTTATAATCAAACCGAGGATGGGGTCTTTAGGTCGTTCCAGAAGCTGTGTTGCTGAACTAAGGGTAAATAGGTTACCTTTCCCTTTGTCACTGTCTTTCAAAGGAAGGGATTTGGAGGGATTCAACGGGAGAAGTACCACCTTTTTACCCATCCACGTAAACTCGAATGTATTATCTTGTCCTTTATGGAGAGCTTGAGTATCATATTGCTATGGCCTTCCAAGTAAAATATGGCATACATCTATGTCCAACACATCACACACAATTTGGTCTTTATATGTTGCACCAATGGACAAAGCCACTGTGCAAGTGTGTGTGACATGAGCCTCACCCACTTTTTTAATCCAAGATACTTTATATGGAGCAGGGTGCGAGGATAAAGGCAAGTGTAATGTACTTACCAACTTACTTGCAATTATGTTTTCGGTGCTCCCACTATCGATGATATTTTCCCATTTATGGTGCATTTAGTTTTAAACAGAGCATGTCGTTGGTAAGTTACCTCTGTTTTAGGTGTCAATAGGACCGTTGAAGGACACAGGAGACAGGATCCCCTACATCTGGTGCGGCATAGTCAACATCATCTTCCAATTCTTCTCCACTGTCTTCGTGGATGTCTTCCTCATCAATGAAATTGATAGCTTTTCGTTGAGGACAATCATTGGATAAGTGTCCGGTTTGTCCACACCGAAAGCACTTACCCAATGTTGGGCGGGAATATACATTTCCTTGTTTTTCTCCTGCCATAGTATCAACAGGTTTAGTTTTAACAATATCATTGTCGAGGGACTTACCTTTAGGGGCAGTGGCTGAAGAGTTTGGGGAAGAGGTATTGTCACCCAGAGGATTGGACCGTTTGGATGTACCCCCCCGATCCCAAGTGCCGCGGCGAGCATATTGCTTCTTGAAACGACTGCCCACCTGCTCTTCAATGGTGGTTGCGGTAGAAATGGCCTCATTGAGATAACCAGTTGGTTGCAAAGCAATCTGTTCTTTAATGTCCGAATGCAACCCACCAATGAATCGAGCCACCAAATGTTGTTGGCTTTCCAAAAGATTGGTTCTTGCACCCAAACGATGAAACTCCTCGGAATAGTCAGCTATGGATCTTGTTCCTTGCCGACAATTCTGGTACTGATTGTACAAAACTTGTTCAAAATTAATTGGTAGAAATCGTTCACGCATGAGCTTTTTCATTCGCTCCCAATTACCGGACTGCCCTTGGTCTTCTTGGTGGATTTGCTGGCCTTTCTTGGGGAAAAACCTGTCTACGGTTATCCACCCTTGTTTCTTGATCCATTCTTGCTTGCTGATCCATCCTTTCTTGCGGCAGATTTGTGTGTTGAACCGGCGACTGATGCACGCTTATTGCTTCAAGCTTGTCGTGGATAATCTCTAGTATTTGTTTAATCTCACCAACATCCTGCTAGATGGTTTTCACCTCCCCTTCAACCGACAGCAAGCGTGCGGTTGACGTTCGTGGCGAGAGAATGGAGGGTTGCTCCATTTCTTTGTTACCGAGGGAAGAGTCGCCCAAGTTGATCGACTTCTTTCCTGCCATCTACCCCAGAAACGGGTTGCTCTGATACCAAGATTGGTGTACAATACACAGGGATTTTCTTGAAGAAAGAATAATATCCTCCAAAAGAGAAAGCCAGCAGCTATTTAAAGAGAAAGCTGGCACATTAACAGTACACTAACGGTAACTACATATTAACCACACGGTTAACCAACTTATAACTAAAACAACCTTACGGCCTTACTTAACCCAACTAACCCTTACATAATAACTACATCAATATAAGTGCCAGTTGCTTCATGGATAAGTTTTGTTACATTTCAAGATATCCAGAGGGAGTGCACTAGAACATTGGCTGGTCAAAATAACGAAAAGAAATTTAAGCTTACCCATCTAGCTCCACAAGAAGTTGGTTTATGAAAGCCTCGTGATCCTGTTCTTTAGTATGAATAAACTTGCCACGAACTCCAGCAAAAAGGTCAAAATCCTCCACAAATATGATCACAGGTGCCTAGAAATATCACTCTAGAACTAAAATTAGACATGGAAGATTGCAAAAACTAATCTTCTAAACTTTTCTAGAATAAAAACCAAGGAAAAAATTGCTGGTTAAAAAGTTTTCACAGTAATATTACCAGAAATAACCACGAATATCAACTTTATTAGAACTTTCCTTTGGTCTACATGGAAAATCTTTAGATAGTTTTATGAACAACTTATCCTTTTGGCTCTCAGTAAAAATTCATCTTACTTTCATGGCTACAGCTACAGTTTATCTTTCCTTTTGGCCAATTGGAGGTGCTTTTTGTAGCTTCACTTGGCTTGAGATCAAGTTTCCTCCATTTTTCGTATAATTTTATCATAGCAATAAAATGTTTGAACATTTCTTAGAAAAAGAGGAATGAGGTAGCATCTCTATTCTAAATTGTCTGGGTTCTGACTCTATCTCTAATTAATTTCTGATTGAAGACAATAACAGTGGTTGGGTAACATAGGAGTACAGCCCTCCCCCTACTATCATTTTAGAGAGGATTTCTAACAAGAGTTACACGCTTTCCAGCTTATGTCATGGCCATTGGTGTATTGGGGGAGATCTCAATGTGGTGTGGTGGATTGATGATAATCTAATGGGAGAAGAATCACCAAACGTATAAAAGCAATGAAATCTTTTAAACCCTACTGACGATCTCAGTTTCATAGATTTTCCTCTTTCCAGCAATCCTTCATGGATCCTATTCCTACTAAAATTGATCATTTTATAGCTATGAGAGATAGGATGACTTCTTCAAACAGACTAAACATGGCAGATAAAGATTAGCTAGAATAACTTCGGACACTCCCTTAAATTCCCCAACTTTTGAATTCAAAAAACATGCAGCTTGACCATCCCTCTGTTATTGACCTGGTGAAAGAATTAGTGGAACAGATTTTACGTTGAAAGCTAGTTGAAAAAGATAGGATCTTAATTTGTAGGCTAAGTCTAAATCCTTTTGTAATTACTCTTTTTAAGTCTTGTTGACCAATTAGAGAGCTTTTTTAATATCCTTTGTCATTTGCATCATTCTCAGGTACCTTTTGATATCTTAATCCAAAGTCCTTGGCAAGAATAAAGCCCTTTGGGTGGTAGTTGCTTGCAGAATCCTTTGGGAGATTTGAATATTGCAAAAACAAATAAATTAAGTAAAAAAAAAAAATCAGTGTTTTATA